AGCGGGCGGGCTCCTCCTGGAGGCGGGAGAGAGGGTTAGCGCTCTCTGAATGGGGGCATGCCTCCAGGGAGGCTGCCAGGAGAGCACCCAGGGTAGGCCCAGACCAGGCTGGCAGGCGGCAAGTGTTTGTGTAACAGCCTCACCTTAATCTGCAGGTGTGGAGGCTACTGCCTCCAGGAAGGCTTCCGGGGCTGCACCCTTATGCACAGAGAAGGAGCTGGTGTCTGAGGAGAGTGCTCAAGACAAGCAGGTAGCGCCCAGAATTAGGTTGGGTGGGAAGATGAATAGGAGGGACATGGCTCTATCCCTCTGGGGACTGGGACACTGTCTCCACGAAGGGTCCGATTGTCTCCCTGAGCGGCTGTCCACCTCCTGCAGGAGAAACACCCACAGTCCAGCCAGTTGCATCAGGGGCAGGCGAGGAGGCAGTGAGAGGGTGACAGGATGGCGGCGGCAGCAGTGGGGAGAAACAGGGCCCTGTGGGTCTGCTGAAGGCAGAGGTCCCTGGGTCTGGATGGATTGGCGGGTGGGGTGGCAAGAAACAGGGAGGTCCTGGCTTGGGCGCCTGGGGCACTGATGTCACTGGGCAGTCGGGGCGCTTGGACATGAGGTCTAAAGCGCCTGTAAAGACCCTGAAAGGTTTTATGGGCCCGGGCTGCTGTGGCCACCAGCTGCCTCCCTCGGGTCTGACCACACACCTGCCCGGGGAGAGGCCTGACCGGTGGACTCACCGAAAGCAGCGGCCGCTGGGCCTGCCACCTGCCACCACCGTCGCCCCTGCTGAAACAGGGCTGGGCCAGGGTCAGCGCTCAGTAAGTGTCCCTAGGGCGAGGGAATAATAAACACGCCCACGACGACGAGAGGCGCCGCGGGCCCAGGGCAGAGGATCGGTGGCGACATCGAGGGGGCGCCCCCTGGGCCCCCGAACCTGGAGGTACCCAGGTCTGGACCCGCGGGAGGGGACAGCGGGCAAGGGTCAGGTCGGACGGCGGTGTCCAACGTGGGGCTCCTGGGGACGCGAGCATGGGAAACTGGAAGGGCCTGGTAACCCCCAGACCCCCGCAGATCCTGAGCCCCGCGCGGCACCGCGACACACGGCGGGAGCCCCCGGGCCCGGCCGTCGCGGGGGAGCACTCACCTGCGCGGATCGCAGGCTGGACGGTCCAAACTCCCCGGCACGCGGGAAACCGCACAAGCGGCGCGGTAGACTGTAGCTCCGGCGGGGCAGGGAGCAGCTCCGCCTACGACTCCCAGAACCCCACGCGGTGGCCCCGCCTGAAACGCCTGTGGTTGCTGGGCCATCTTGGCCTACGACTCCCAGCAAGCCTTGCGGCCACTTCCTCTCCCAAATGCACGGCCGTGTTTCTGCGCCTGCGCGCGGGGAGCGCCGCCGCCATGCTGTGTGCGCTTCTTGGCGGTGGTAGCGTGTTGTCACGTTTCCGGACGCTTGCAAGGCGAAGTGGCTGTGTTCAAATTTTCACCGTTTGGGGGATTATCGTAGGCGCTGAAGGGGCTTTAGGCCACACTGTCTCTGCCCTTCGATGTGGGGGCTGGCGAATGGCAAAGGGGTACGGCGCACGCGCAGACTGGCGATTCCCGGGAGGAAGTGGGAGTGGTATGCGCATGCGCGAACTCTGCTGGCGCGTAGACGGGAAGTGAGTCCGCTGTTGGTGGTTTTCGAAGGGTTCTCGGCTCGTACATCTGGGCCTCGAGTTGGATGCCCTTGCCAGTGACCAGCGGGCCGCCACACACTGCACTGGAGGCGGAGCTCTGGGATGGAGAGCAGCCCTGTGGGAGCCCGGAGACCCCGCAGATCCTGACTGCTGAGACTGAGGGGTCCAAAGACTCGGACCCATGAAGCCAGTGTTCCTGGTTCTTTGGTTATAGGGAGTTGGTTTCGGTAATCCAGGGGACTGGAGACCTTCTAGACGGAGCCCACACTCACCGAGACCCAGGCCCCTGACTCCGGAGTGGTGGGAGAATCAGGGCCCCAGCACACCTCCCACAGCACCCTGCCCCAGGCCTCCCCCCACCCCAGGTCAGGGCACACCGGTGCCAGGGGGACCCCAGGTGCCTTGGCGACCCTCGGCGCGCAGACCTGAGTTCAGATACACTTCTCTGAGGCCCAGTCGTGGGGGGGGCAGTCATCCTGGTAAGAAAGTGAGACTCAGGGTCCCCAAACCCAGATCCCCACAACACCAGTGCTCAAAGGTCACTGAGACAAGGGGCTGGGAGCCTGAGCGACCCCAGGCAGGGGTCACGGCGTCCAGCAGGGGTCTGTGGGAGTGCTGCTGAGACTGCCACCACTGTGTGGGCTGTGTGTTCCCGGAGCGAGCTGCGTACCTCGCTCTCTGCTGAGGTGACCTCCCGGAGGCCCTTGTTGAGTCACAGTGGGGCAGCGCTGGTGGTCAGGGCTTCGTCCATTATTGCTGGTGGTCAGGGCTTCGTCCATTATTGAGTGGCCGTCAGGGCTTGAGATGCTTCCTTCTTGCCCCCGTGTCCTTGCGCCAGTTTTGCGAATCTCCTTTCCTGAAAATGCCTGGGGGTCACTTCTCTTTGCTTGTGGCTTCAGCTCCAGTTCTGCTGCGATCGACATCCTGGCCCTTCCTCTCCCGGAGTCACCCTCTGACGGCCACACGGGGCATGTTCTCACACCAGGAGCTGACCTCCCCTCTAACCCTCCTTGGCCTGCGCCTCCCCTTTCCTCAGGGACGGAGATCGCCCAGGTCGTGGGGCTCTCGCTCCTGGACGATCAGCTCTCAAGGCCAGCGTGCCGTGGCCTGGCCCCGGGGAGCCTCGCTCCCTGTTACCTTGGTGCGTGCCCAGGCAGACCCCAGACCCGTGCGTGCTGGTTGCCATTGCTGGGCACAAGGGGGTGAGGTGCTCCACCTGCTGTCACCCAGAACAGTACTTGGTCCCCAGGGGCTGTCAGATATCTTTGAAAATTTGATGAAAAAAAAATGTTGGCAAAACCTCTGTCTCCCGTTCTGGCTCTGGCTCCTGCCCTTTCCTCACTGACCTGATGTCCTCTGAGGCAGGTGGTCGAGGGCCCCTCCGGTGAGGTGCAGCCCACAGGGTCGGGCGGCAGGTGCCCTGCTCCCACAGGAGCTGAGACAGTGTTGAGCAGATACGTCCCTGAGAAACCTGAGTCGGTAGCAGTCACAGATAAACTCCCTGCTGGCGCGGTGGGTTGGTGGCACCGTGGGTCGGGATGCAGCATGGCAAGCCGGCTGCAGCCGCTTCAGTGCGAGTTCGATCCCTGCCCCGGAGGTGACCCCCAGGGCACAGCAGACCTCTCCGGTCTCCCTGCTGCTTTCTCAGCAGTGTACTTCGTCCATCTGCCTGTTCTGCTCCCCACTCTGTCTCTGGTGACTTCTCTCACCGCCCCTGCAGCTCTGGCCTAGACCCCACTTCTGTGTGCAGACCCACCGTGTGCCGGAGGAGCCCGGTGTCCTTTCCCGTGTCAGCTGCCCCCTCTCTGTGCCTCTTAAGATCCCGCCACAGCCCCACCCATGACGGGGGGGTCAACAGGGCCCCAGGGTGTAGACGAGCTTCCCACAGAGAGCGCCGCCCAGGACGGCCCGACGGGTGTTCCAGCCCATCCCTTCTGACAGGGACCCCTGCGCCCCCGCCACCGTCCTGCTTGCCGGCTTCTGCTCACCTTTCAGTTCTCATGTCCATGCCTTCTGGGGTCCAGCCTGGGTCAGGCCCCGCCCTGTCTATCCCCCGCATTCCAGTCTTTCTGGGGGTGTCATCTTTAGTGGCGACATTCATGGCAACGACGCTTTTTCTACTCATCGCCCCCGCGTAGTGAGGCCGTAATGTTGCCATGGGTTGTTTGTGGGGTGACAGAACCCAGCCAGGAGTCCCTGAGATGTGCTGGGACCCACGGAGGCAGAAGACCGCGCCACCTCCCGCAGTTGGGCATGAGGGCAGGGGGCGCGCTGACCGCAGGGGACTGGAGGTCGAAGCCGGCGGGGGTGGGGAGGGTATGGGGTGGGGGGAGCAGAGAGAGCGGGCTTTGTTTTTTGGGCGGGAGGCAGTGCTGCGAGCCTCCCTTTCTGGTCTCACCCTGCATAGGTGCCCACAAGGGTCTCCAACCCCCATTCCTCCGTGACTGGGTGAGCGGATTTGGAAAGGGGGTGTGTACTTTCATTTGCAGAGTTTTGATTTCTGTGTTGCTTGAAGGAGAATGTCCGACCTAGTCAGTGAGGCCTTAAGAAGTCTCAGCCTGGTGGGACAGACAGCCAAGGCTGTGCGGGCCGGTAAAACCTGGGAAGAGGCGGGCAGGAGAGGTGCGGGAGGGCCCCAGGCCGCGAGCCCTTCTCCCCAAGCTTTCACCCCACCCTTCCGACCCTCCCATCCCAGGCGGGACCGGCCTCTGGGGTCCTGCGCTTGTGTAGACCTGAAAGGTACCGGCGCACGGAGCGCCGGTCCCGTTTCAGCACCACGGACAGCGCCAGCCACCGGCGCGGGGCAGAGTGGGCGGAGTGTGACGGGAAGGCCGGACCCGCCTCGCCCAGAGCCCCGCACTTGGCCGCAAAACAAGCCGGTCCCCTTAGCCCCGCGCTGCTGAAGACCAGCTTCAGCTGAGGTAATGAGTCTCCCGCAGTAAAGGACGGCGTCGGCTACGGCGAGAGAGAAAAGGAGAAAAAGTGGGGTAGAAAAACGAGGAGCCGCAGACACCTGTCCAGGGCGAAAGCGTCTCCTGCCGATGGTCCCAGCAGGGCTTTATTTATACGTTACAAGCAAGCGGTGGGATTACATCGGTGTGTGCATAAAGCAGGAGATGACAAGCATCTGTTTTCTTAAAGATAGTTGAGGATTTTTTGATCGCTTACTGAAACTGTGCTATTCATATAGAAAAAGTTCCTAGAGTGGCCAGTCGTTAGTAAACAAATATTCCTTTGGTGATCAGTTATCAAACAAAATGCGGTGCTCAGTTAGCTACGGCAACTCAAGCAATCGTTCTGTTAACTTCTCAGTGAACACGCATCTTCAAGGGGCAGGGTCTAATTTAAGGAGCTGGGAGTCAGAAACGCCAGGGCGCTGACTTTCCCCTGCCCCTGGGGTAAAACCCCTTTGGATCTACAAAAGGAGCTTCTGTTAACCAGTATTTCTGCCATTGTTCCGTCAACCTTGTCTCTATATCTAACATAAGAGTTAGGGGAAAGTTTCTTTCTTTCTGGTCATTGATGACCGTCCCAGTAACCTTATCTAAAAAACCTTTCTATGTGAAAAGAGGTCGCGGTGAAC